ATGCCCACGAATCTGCTTAAGGACGGAGGGGCAGAAAGACGAAATGCCCACGAATCTGCTTAGGGTTTACATATATATATGATAGAGAGGTTCAGGGTTTAAGTACTCCAAAACGCTGGACTAATCACGTACGCCCCGAAAGACAAACCCTCGAAGACCTCATGCAGCTCCTACATGGTATACCCTCAACCCCCTATTCGAATCACTGAGACCCCTAAACCCTAAACCCTAAACCCTAAAAGCACCCTACAAAGAGTGCTTTGAGCCCACCTCCAAAGCCCGACCCTGGGCTGTCTGCGCCAAGATCACCTGAAGCCAACACGTGGGTAGTTCTCTAAATTACCCAGAGACTCCAACTCCAATATCTTTTTTTTTTCAGGAATAGACCTTAAATCACATTAGGATCCTACTAGAGCTTATGGAATCTTCCTTAGTTAAGGGATATTGGAGTCTATGGCTTGGGTCCCTTTTCAGGTCCCAACAATAGTACGGCGCTCTTCTACAGTACACCCTCAAAGGGACCCTTATTTAGAGAACTACCCATATGAAACACATCGTTCCTGGCGTTACTTGTTTTTGGAAGCTTAGGGCTTAGTTTGAAGGGTTCAGGATTCTGGGCTTTTCCGGGGTTTGGGAGTGTTACTCTGGGATTGATTCCGTGGTGGCTGAAGAGTATCATGCGTGGTCGCGGCTACTGCTATGTGGTTGCTTGCTGCTGTTACCAATATTGTTCTCGTTGCTATCAGCCATTATTGCGCTAGTTGCGACTCGTTTTCATTACCTGGTTGAGTTATGAATCCGCAGATTATCTTGCCTGCCTGAGGTTCTCGCGAGAGAAACTTGCGGGGCCATGCGCTGCTGAGAATACGTTAGCGTCGTATCCCGTCGTGCCCGACTCACGATTGAGGTGCAGGGGGATGCATGGTGCATGCAGGGTGGGTGATGCGGAGTTGCAGGGTCTGGACCTATGGGAGGAGGGTAGCCTCCAGAGTTCTCGCTGCATTTTGGGTATCCGGCTGTTGGGTATTCGGGTTTGGTTCACGAGGGCAGTCTAGCAACTACGGTGAAAGGACCTTCAAGCAGCAACACACTGCAACCTTCAGGCTACACGGGCCGTAACGAAGATTCAGGGAAATCCTTGCCGCCCACTTGGAACCCTTCATTTCGCACCAAAGCACAAGTGGAAATGCTTAAACCTAATGTCCTGGGTCCGCTAGTGCCCGAAACCCTAACCCTAAAACTGCCTCGCTGTCTTAAAGCCTAAGCCATCCAATGGTTGCTCCGAGAATGCCTGCGTGGGATCCATGGATCCTGGAACGTTTTTCAGGCTTCAGGGATACCATGTTGTACGTTTTTCTTGTCTATTCGGGTTTACGGTATTAGGATTTAGATTTGGTGCAACAGTGTATTGGGGCTTCGCTAAACGGCACTATGTTTAAAGCATCCCCAACTCCGGAAGACTAGATCAATACACAGGCTTGGCATCACACGAACTGACTCAGCGCGCTGGCTGAAGTCTCCATGGCCATCACGCTGGAAACAACACCGACAGCTGCAGCAGAAACTTGAATTGCATGCCCTCGGATAACCTGTTCTCTACGTTGGTGGCTATTCTAGCAAGGTGACGGAGGCACTGAGCGAGCCCATGGAAGTTTCGACTCTCTCCATTCGAGCCAGCGGGCAGTGTGTCCTCAGGCAAGAACACTTGACTTGCTAGCAACTAGTACAACAAGAAACGGTCAGTCTTGCTGTCCTGGGTTGCTGCTACATCACTGGTAGGAAAAGCTCAATCACACGACTTGCAAAAGGCAGTTCAGGCGACAGTCACAAGTAAAAAAGCTGGAGGCTACAAATGTAACTAATATTGTCACCTGAAAGCAGCATCAGCAGCAACAGCAGCACCAGCAGCAATAGCAGCCGCACAGGAGCAACACCAATGCAGAACACAGCCAGCACCGCCACAAACCAGACCGACGATAATGACGGCAACGATAACGGCGACAAGCAAAATTTCGACAGCAGCACCAGCATCACCGCCGAACTGCTACAGTACCACCACACAGCAGAGCCTGCAATCAACAGGAACCTGGCAAAGGCACTGCGTCAAGCCAGTTGTTCTTGCGTCCGTTTGATGCCAGCAAAGGCCGACATGGCTTGCTGGCTGTAAACCCGATCAGTTCATCCGGAAAAGCTGCACTACACGCACAAGGTCCGATCCGGCACTTCAAAGCGACCGGCACGGCGATGGCATCACTCACCACTTGTCGGCCTTGCCGTAGACGTAGTTGGCCACATCCTCGATGTCATCCGGGCCGAGCTTCTCACCGAAGGCCGGCATGGCGCCGTTGCCGTTGGTGACCTGGGTGATGATGGCCTGCACGTCGTACTTGCCGTACTGCACCAGCGCCTCCTTCTTCCTGAGCTGCATTCACGGCGACTAACGAGAAACCCTTAGCAAGAGTGTGCAATTTGGACAGTAAGATCAGTTGTCCGTCAATTGCGGGGTCTCTTCTTCAAGAATGCTAAGTCCTGATCTCTGATGGTGCTTAGTCTGTGATCATTTGCGCAGGTCAAGCGAGTGAGATGCCGCAGAGAACCTTATTTCTCCGTCCTTTACCGGCAGCGAACCTTTTCGCTCGCTATCTGACCAAGTAGGAATCGCTGGAGAGGCAACTGGAAACTGTAAGATGTGGCCGAGCTTCAACTTCTTTTCCGCCACGATGCTGTTGTTACCTTACTTGCCCAATGAGCCAGGGAAAGAAAATGTTAAACTTTCAGATTACTAAATTATGAGAACCCAAAAAGTTTAAAGGTTGGGTATTGGGGACTAAGTTACCACCGGCATGGCAGGCGGTGCAGTTGCCGTTGAAGATGGCCTCGCCGTTCTCGAGGTCCGCGGCCAAAGCCGGGCGGCTGCCCACCACTGCGGCCAGCAAGCCCAGGGCGGCACCAAGGGCAAGCGGGCTGAAAGCCGCGGTTGTGGACTCCGCTTCCGGCGCCGCAGCGCCCGCCGAGCGGCCGGTGGAGACCTGCACCTCCGGGGCGCTGCTTGGCGTGCTGCCCGGCAGCACGAAGCAGCTGGCGCCCAGGAGCAGGGCGGCACCGGCGACGAAGGCGACACGAGACATCTTCGGAGAGTGAAGAATGCGAGGTGACCGAGACAGTGAACTGCGGGCCAAAAACCTGACGCCACGCAAGATGCTGCGGAAAGTCTGCCAAGCTCCACTGACCTGGCACAGCAGCACTTTTGGGTCGCGTGCACTCCGTCATCCCTGGTGATCCTGAGTCCGATCAGGCCATGCACAGCTTTACACGCTCCTGGCTCAAAGCCTTGGAAGAGAGCTCATGTAAACCTCGACCGCTCGAACCTTCAGCATATGGTGCTTCTGCATTTGATTGCATTTGGCTCTATAGAGGCCACTTAGCCACGTAGTCTTGAGTGAGAAGAGAGCAGAGACCCAAAACGCCAGGCACAGGCCCAAAGTAAAGGCAACCGGCACACAATCCCGAAAGCAGCCCAGCAGACTTTCAACAATTCCCGTCGGGTCAAGCCGTGCCGGAGCCGGCACAGTATTTTTCCCAGACCCTCTCCTAAAGAGTTGCTGAAGGCGTGGCACGGGGGTTCAGACCAGACCGAGCGTGTTCGTCATGTCGCCCCACATGTTTATCGGCGTCGATCAATGGATTGAAGGTCACTCGCAAATGTTCGCAACACGATGATTCTTCTCTTGCCCAAACTTCGCGACATCGAAGTCAGATGACTGAAACGCAGACCCGAAAATCGTCACCCAAGGCAGAGGCGTCAAAGATGGCACCAAGCCAAACAGACGGAACACTATGCTAGGCCGCTGGCCACAGGCCCGAGCGTGCGCAGGCCAACGGCAACTCAAATCAAAGTTGCTGCCGTGAGTCAACCTCGTGCGGCGCCCTGGCACCCGCCAAGTCACAGGAACAAAAAAAAGTCGATGTGCAAGCAACATGTACCATGTGCAGGAACCAGACCAAGATTTGAGGCCGCAGGCGGAAACGCAATCCAACAGTAAGGGCGATGGCACGATGAAGCCCTCGCGCAGGCCAATCAGTTCGATATGACCGGAGTCCAGAATGTAGCGCATCTTCGGATGACATACGCCGTGTGACATACGCAGCGTAAACGTGACTTGCGATTAACAGACTAGCACCACGCAGCATGTGAGTTGAGGCACGCTCTTCCTAGCTCTCTGGTTCTCTTGCAAGGTGCTGCCGGTCCACGTCAGCAAGTTGTCCTCTCAGTGAGACCTACAGTAATTGACAGCTGACCTTAATGCATTGAAAAAACCGTCCGATTGGAATCTGAGGACCACGTGCCGATATGCGACCATGGAGCCCAGGAGCTGATTGTGCGAAGAGTGCAGCATGAATCATTGATCATCTAGGGCTTCGGGTTCTCGGGCGTGAGAACCTTTGGAAACTACGTTCTTGATACCGGGGTCCCTTTACCCTTGCTCAGAAACAGGGCTGTTGAGTTGAAGAGTTGTTGGGAACCTCCAAATGATAGCATCAGATTTGCAGTTCAGCCTACACTAGATTCCCCTTATAAACCATAAACCCTAAACACTGAGCCCCCTTAACCCTAAACCCTAAATCCCAAATTTCGACCGGCTTGCAGCAATAACTCCAGCTGAACACTCCGCGGCAAATGGCACAAAGGGAGGCAATGTTGCTCTCCGAATTCGAATTCCGGGCTGCAGGATCCCCTGGGCAGCTAAGCGCTGAAAAGGCTAGAGGCTGACGCTCTTCTGTGACCGCTCTTCTTGGCGCTTACGGTTTGGGAGTCTAGTGATGTAGGGACTATAAAGGAATGCTGCTGATCCGCTCATCTTAGCTCCCGGACTGTAAATGCTCCAACCGAACCCTCCACGCCGAGCCGAGCCGAAATACCCGACAAACGGAAGCTAGCCCACCCATCCGTAAAATCAAATAACTTCTGAATACGGTAGTGTTTATTGATACATGTACTCTTCACTGACTCTACACCCTAAACCGCACCCCCAAACCGCCCCACCCCCCACCCAAACGTTCCCGCTCGTTTCGTTGACAGCTCAGAGATTCCTGAATTTCTTGAGCCGTGAAGACTTTGGGCTATGAGGCTTGGGATCTACCTGCAGGAAGCCACTTTTGAGCAATTTTCATGCGTATCATAATTTATAGAAAGGTACGTTGTTGGGCCACTGTTTCTTCGCACATAATGTTTGCAAGTTTTGTGGGTTGTCGCTTCAAGTTTCCGTTTTGTCACTTTTTCCTAACGAACAATGGCTTAACAGGTGCACGTAAATGTGTAATCGCAAACCAGTGGATGGTCCTAGCCCTATCCGAGCCGTGGCTCTTAAGGCCCATCTTCCTGAAGCCCCCAACAAGAGGCGCTTGAAGTACTGCCAACTCCGGTGTATAATAATGTAGGGGCCTTAGTTATTAAAGAGGGCTTCGGGGTAAGTATAGCATAACTGCAACAAGGAACCCCAAAATAATTATTGGTAATTATTTAGGCCCCTGTATTACATCACAGCTTTCTCAGGGATCCGCGGGCTTCCGGCCATGCATGGCAGCAAAGCCGCGGCCTTGATTAAGAGCGGCTTTGCTGCTGTCAAGTCCGAGGGAACCCCGAAAGCGCCAAAGCAGAACTAAAGGGCTGAGCCGAACAAAAGCATAAGAGAGTAATGAATGAAGAACCATGAGAACATGTCTATTCTCAAGTCACGAAGGACAATACCGAGTAGCCGCGAGACCGCACGCGGATCTGCGACGAAGCTCTGGCTCTGGCGCACTCACATACACAAGAGCACGAGACTTAAGCAGATGCAACTGTCAGCATGGATGCCAGGATAAGCAAAATGCACCACTGCAGCGGAACAAACTGCACCCAGTGTGCGAGGGAGGTCGTGTCGTCGTCGTACAACCTATCGTCGTCGTCGTCGGCGTCGCAGTTGTCGTGTGCGTGGGCGTCGAGGTCATGCTCGCGGTCGCGGTCGGGGTCCTGGTGCTGGTGCTGGTGCTGGCGCTGGCGCTTGGGTGGTGGTGGGTGGTGGAAGAAGCAGACAAGACGCCATTAGCAACAACCAATCGCAGTGACTAAAGCAGCATTGCTAAGAGCAACCTTCAGTCGACACTGCCGATCATTGTGGAAAAGACACCTAGCGCTGTGCGACCACTAAACCTCAAACGCGACCATTCAACTAGACAATTGTCTATTTTTGTTGGGATTCTTGTCATTGTCCCGAATAAATTGTTGTTCTTCTTGCTATGACTAATAACTTTCTTCTTGTTCTTATTGACCCTCAAACTGCAGAGGTGCTTTCCGGGTCCGGAAAGTTGGGCGGTCGGATGGGCGGAGGAGTGACCGCCCGGCAGGGTGTTGGCTTTGGCTTTATGGGCGTTATGGGTTTCGTGCGTTCTTGAGGGTTTCGGGTGTAGGGGTTTAGGCTTTGGGTTTTGGCGCTTATGGGCTTTATGAGTTCAGGTTTTCGGGTTTCGGGAAATTGTTCTTAGGGTTATAGGTGAAGGGCTCAAAGGCTTAAAAGCTTTCGGGTTTAGCGCTTCAAGGGGGGTTTAGGGTTGAAGTGATAAGTGTTTCTTCCTCAGGTGTGCACCCACGAGTGTCTCCGGATGTTGGGATCGTTCAACCACAAAACCCTTCAAACCCAAAACCCCCAAATGCAAACAAACAACGCAAACCCCTCGCACCCTGCGGGTTTAGGGTTAGCCAGTCGAGGTTTTGAGCTCTGGAGGCTTTTTTGGTTTACAGAGCTTCGGGCTTGTGATCTGCAGAGGCCTTTAGCTAGTAGCAGCTGTTTCGTGCTTTAGGCGTTTTAGGAAGTTCGGGGTTCAAGGTCTTGGGGTCCGGCATTCAGGCTGCGCAGGTTTCAAACGTAGGTGTCGGGTTACAGCTTGTAGGGTGTAAAGTGCAAGTCTTCAAACTTTGGATTCTAGCTTTCGCGAGCTGCGGTAGAGTTCCACGGCGAAGTTAGGCGAATTCGGAGTCTAAGCTTCGTGGCTTGTTGGGAATGCTAGCAAGTCCGATTCTATGCTTCTACTTCTCAATGACCGGATGTAAAATCAAGCAAGGCCACCACTGTTGAATTCTTATACTCGCGCAACCTCTGGCGCTGCTTCCGAGTGCGGTGTATCGCGCCCGTCTGGAGAATGAGGAAGCTCAAAGCGCAAACCTTAAACTCTACACCCCTAAAGCAGACATCCTAATCACCCAATCGCTAGTCAGTTCGCGAAACCAAACCCCCAAAGCCGGCCCACAGGCCTCGAAAAGCACAACGGCAGCTTGAACGCCAGAATAAATTTAGGGCTGTCGGGTTTAGGGTGGCTTACGGTTTAGGGGGCCTTCTCCTCGTTGGAGATCCCACGAAAATCCACAAACTAACATCACAAGAACTCTAGACCCACTCTATCGATTCCAGGATCAAAAAAAAATCGTGCGCCCTGCGCTGGCAGACCCTGCCGTCAGTCGCCGAGTGTCGGCCCATCCACTGTAGCAGTTCAAAAGCAGCTGCTACTTTCCGGATCCCTCAACAAGTTTAGGGTTTAGGATTTAGGGTGTAGGGTTTAGGATTTAGGATTTTAGGGTGTAGGGTGTAGGGTGTAGGGTGTAGGGTTAGGATTTATAGGCTTTGGGGTTCTTGGAAGACTTTGGGAGTGCACCGCTCAAGTAAGCGACCATGCGCATGCACGCTCTGATCATAACTCTACTCGTTTTCATCCACAGCGTAGTAAAGTAGTCTACTCAAGGGGCTTTCAGCTTCTATTTTCAACCCTGGTATGTCCTGAACCCTAAAATACAAACCCTAGAATGATTCTGTATCCAGCATGTCACGTTCTGCTCCGTTGTCCCTCTCTGAAGTTTTGAGGGATTCGGCGGGGGAGCAGCTAAACTCTGCTCTGAGAACCTCATGGAGGCCTCGAAACTACGGTCCGTGGCCGTTCGTCCTGCGCCCCACTTAAGCTTAAGGCTAGGCCTCTTATAGGGTCGGTTCAGGGTTTTGGGTTTTGGGATTAGGGCTTGCTGGGTTTCGTCAAGACCAGGCACCGCAGAAACTTAAAGAAGCAGCTTTTCCAATCTGAGGTTTCAGGGTTAGGGGGA